CAAAATGACAAGGAGATTAAATGACTGAACAGAGGTAGTGTCTGGAGACTTGGGCTGAAGTCAGCTCTGAATCCCTGTCTGCTGTGTGTATTTGTCCTTTCACAGATGAGGGTTGTAAAGCCGGGATTATCAGAACTTTCTTTTACTAGCAGGTGACACACTTGCCGGTAAAATGGTAGCAAGGCCTCAACTTTAATTAAAACATATTAATATCAAGGTTTATATTCATTAGGGATGCAGAATTACCTGTGGGTGACACAGTAAGAGTAACTCGCTCTTAGCTCTTCAGCAGCTTTTGGAAAAGTTTTTGGCTTTCTCTTTTTGGACATTTTTTAACTGCTGAAGAACTGTAGTTGAGAGTCCATTAAAATGAAACTTAGGTTATTGTCTTAATTTAGCTCACAGCACTTGAAACTCCAGTGTCCTGTTTGTGAAACAGAAAGGGATTTCAGTGGGATAAGAGTGACCAAGCACATTTTTTCTGGAACTGAGGAGAATTATTTCTTGGTTCTCATTAACTGAGGCTTCAGTTCAGCAAAACACTTAAGCATTTACCAAGCTTTCAACAGAAGTCCCATTGCTTTTAATTTAGAAGAATTTACTTTTGTCACAACCTCTGCTTAGAGTCAGGGGCATGTAAGCACCAGCTTAGAGTTCGGCATGTGTTAATTGTTTAAATATGTTTAGCCCTTTCCCCAAAGCTGTTGTGAATGTTTAATGCAGTATTTACACTAGCCTTAGCACAAGGACTTGTGCTGTAGGATTGATGCTTGAACGTATACTTGCTCTGGAGTATGTGTCAAGTGCTTTGCTCGAATTTTCTGAATTTTTAAGTTTCTATTGGGACTTGACTTTAAGTTTTTAAGACAAAGCACTTTTCAAGAATAAAATGTCATTTAACATTTAATAAAGGCAACTATCTGCCTAAACCACAGAGTAACCGCGAAACTGGGAGAAGCCCTGAACATCTGCCGTAGCTTCTGCGCGGCGGCGGCAGTGCAGGACACCGCTACCGCGCCTCTCAAGCGCCCGGCTTTTCAGTGCAAATGCAAGTTATGGTGTGCTAAGAGCTTAAATACTGTAATGAGTACTTCCCCTCAAAAGGAGTTCATGTGGAAAAAACGGCATATTTGGTACTTCAGGAGTTAACAAAAGTAAGGGCAGATCCACTTAGAGAAAGGCCGGGGGGGGAGGTGTCACTTTTATGTAAGAATTCATTAAAAAATATAATTAGTTTATTTCAATATAGTTATCTCTTTATTATTTAAAGGAAAAGGTTACATGCAGTATATTTGGGGGAAGATTTTATTTAACACTTGGATGCGTTTTGCTCTAAAATGAATGCTTGCTCAAGAGTCTAAGAAGGCTTCATGGGAAGAGCAAAGCAATCTAAGCCATATGTATTGGGCAGTTTGCCAGTTGTTTGCCAATATGCCCAGGCCACCTGGCTATATATGCAGCCAAGTATGCCATTCTGACTAGCCAGCTTTAACCTTCAGGCTGCTTCTTTTTCAGCTCTTAAGAAACTCTAAAGCCCTCCAAAGTGCGTTGCATTTCCCCCATGCCAGTAGTTTGTGTGCATCCAGACGCAGGCTGCGCGGTCGCACTGACCAGACAGCTCGCAGCACCCATTTTCAATGAGTTCATCTTTTGTCTATAGAGCAGTTCAGTAGTGTTGAACCCGGGCCATAAGATGAGTCTGGAGATAGCAGACTGAAACCTTTACCCATATGCCATAGTTAGGCACTTTGACTGACAAGTCACAGTTTTTGTTCCCAATACTGTAGAGACACTGTTTTATGGGCGTGGTTTAGGAAGGATTTTGTTTAATGTAGTTCACCACTATAATTTCTTTTCCCGAGTATTTGCATGAATTGTAAGAGAAGTGAAGCATTTAGCATAACTCAGGCATTAATGGCATATTGTTTCATTATTGGGGTAATTTATTTAAATGTTTATTCATTAAATTTCACTTGCAGCCAAAAATATCTCAGCATTCTATTAATCTTTAGTTACATTTTGGGTTGTGGGCAAAGCCTAAAACAAGTACAGTATCCATGGCAGCAATTTAACATTTAGTAGATATCAGATATAATTAAGCTATTCTAAATATTGAAATTAAGGTAGGAAGAAAAAAAAGATTATATTCAATTCAGTAAACACAGCATGGGAAGTTTTGGTGTAGCAGCCAGCAAAATCTTTAACTGCATCCAAAGTAAAAGGCGTGCAGTCTGCTGTAATTCTCTTCTGTTTTAATAGAAAGCAGTTCGGGGACGGTATAGCGTGGGGACTTGCCCTCGCTTTATAGCTTTAATAAATACGGCGGTGATAGCTGCATTTGCAGGCTGGGGAAGGCAGGCGTGCTTCTTGGAGACGTGTTCTATGTCTGCTTCGCTTTACAGAGGTACGCATATTTTTCAGCAAGCACACGCGCGCTACAAAAAGTTTCTGTGCTCTGATCTCGAAGTGGAGCCTGCGGTTCAGATCGGAAAGCTCCAGGCAGAACTCGCTCAAAATGGCCACGGTTTCCTCCGTTCGCACACCGAAGCCATAAATCTGACACAGCTTCATTTCAAAAGATCCATGAACCTGAGGGCCTGATATTTGAAACTCAACTTCTCCATTTGCAGGTGGGATTATTTGTGGAAGTAAGCGAGAGCACGCAGGCATCTCGCTGCCTGGCCGATCCCCCGCTCAGGTGGCAGCAGGACTTTTTTTGCAGCCTGCAAAGCCGGGTATGGAAAAACTGACACCCTCCCCCCTTATTTTTTAGGCACAAAATTGAAGATTAAACAAAGGAAGGGAAGTTAAGGCTTTTGAAAAAATTGGGCCCCGAGGGAAACTTTGCCAAGTTTCTCGTGAAGCCTGAAACGAGCAACTTTACGAGGAAAGTTTTGCCGCGCTCGGCTCGCCGCACATTGTTCCCATTGCCCTGAAAGCCAGGCTGCTCCCGCACGGCCACCTGCGCCCGCTCCGATCCCCGACAAAGGCGGACCGAGATCAAATGTGGAGCCCACCGGCACTGCAATTTAATCCAGCAGGGTTTGCTGTTGAGTTGCATTGAGGTATTCTTTGTCCCTACGGACGTGCTGCCTTTGGGGAGCCAGGCATATTGAATTGCTTTAAATCAGAACCCATACTGACATGTTCAAGGTCCCTTTTGGGGAGGCCCGTCTTGGGTTTCCTCCGTTAAGAAACACGTTGCGGATCTGTGACTTATTAGCAGTGCGTCGTAGCCGTAGCCGTGCGGCATCGGTGACACGTTCAATAAAGGCCCAGAGAAAGGCGCTGTTGCAAATGCACAAAGACAGACATAAAGGGAGCGGGAAAGTGTCCCGGTGGGTTTTGCAGTCTGGCAGGTGAGATGCAGCTGCAGCCGCCCCATCTGTGCTACCTTGGCCTGCTATGGCTGTCAGGATAGGTAACTCGGGCTATGATGGGAGAAGCAGAGCAGAAATTGAGACAGAGAATAAAAATTAAGGTTAAAAGGGAGAATAATGTTCTACGGGCATTTTGGGGATACTAACAGGTCACAAATTTTCACTTTAAACGTTCACTGGGTCCCATTTTGTGTATTGCACTAATACATGTCTGGACAAATATACCCACTACAGTTTGTATCGTTTGTTTACTCAGCCTTGTATCAATCTGGCGATTTCCATATAATATTTAATCTAAGTGATGGGCTTTGGGCACCGTATTAATAGTATCTTGCCTATCACACGCTTCACTATTGTAAATCTGTTTATTGTTTTTCTGCGTGGGTGCGTGCTGCACATACACGCGTTCTTTCTTCATTGTTGCTCTGTTATTGTCCTTTTATTTATTTGGACCCGGTTTTGCTTTCAGATAAAAAGATTACTCATAAATAGCAGCTTTGTCATCCAAGAATTTCCAAGCACTTAAATTTTGAAAGGTTGTTCATGAAAAGTTGTTTAAATGGGAGCATTATACCACCGTATAATATTTATAATATTAAGTATCTGCAGTTTAGTTTGATTGTTCCTCGCCAAAGCTTTTCTGCGAAAAGGACTGAGAAAAATGATACCTGTGTATACTTCATAGCAATACTAGCCTCTAAGGACCAGATTTTTTCTTCCACCATTTCTCGCCATCTTCCTCTTCCAACAAACCCTCCTCCCATCCCAACCACATATTGTATTGCAAATATGCAAAAACACTAAAGGCTTAGTTCCCCTCTTCTTGTAAACACAGCACTCCCATTAGCGGTGAGGCTGCCCATGCCTTTCAGGGGGAAAATGGACTCTGAAATGCTTGGGAGAAACAGCAGAGCTCTCATTCATGTGGCTTGGGTTGCAAAATTGAACCTACTCTGCTTATTTGCACCTCCATGCCAAAAAAAAAAAAGTGCTGGTGCGCTGGTCACAAGTGCAGATGAAGCAAACTAATACGGATTTCCGTACTCTAATAACAAACAGGGATGTTCGGACGCCATTGCCAATTCTGCATGATTGACTGTTAAGTCCAGAGAGACAACCCTGTCCCATTGAAATCAATAGGATTTTTGCCGTTGGCTTTCCTGGGACAAAGATTTCATTTCCAATAATCCACCACCTGATTTTAGGCATGTCATTTAGTAACTGATTCGCTGCTAATTTACAGGAGAAACTTCTCCTTTTTTTTCTTTTCTTTTTTTTTTCCCCCTTTTTTTTCCACTGGCTTTACATCTAGTAATAGTTCTTTCACAAAAGGTATCCATTTTCCTTCAGGTTTTTTGTCTTGTTTTGTTCTGTTCGGGGTTTTTTTTGTTGTTGTTTTTATATTTTACTACATACCATAACATGGGAAATGGTCCCTCCAGGCATGACTGTTTCAGACGAGGATGTGGTAAGTTGAGGATATATGTTGTTGTGTTGAATTTCATCACGCCTCTGCACATCCTTAAAGCACTGTGACATGCACTGACTTGGAACAGCTAATCCACACCTGGTGACAGGCTACATCACCGTGGCTCAAAATTTCAGCCTCTTCCCTCGCGTATGGGAAGAGGTCATGTTCCCCTTGCCTGCTACAGGATGCTAACAGATATAATAGTCAGGACACGGAAACAGAAGGATCTGTTAAAGGGAGTTGTCATGATAAACAGGTGTGATATTCAGGTTGCTACTTCAGGGAATCTCGGGAAAGGAGGCTGGTTAGCTGAACCCCAAGCAGATGGTAGGGTTTGTCGTTGCATAAGGCACAGCCTGAAACAAATTTTGACTTGGTTAGACTGAGGCAAACCAGGGTTGACTTCAAGGGGAAGAGCACGAGCTCCGTAATTTGTTAGAATTTTGTGTTTAACTTTTATTTCATTATAAAGCCAATCACCTTTGAATGAATGCAAATGACTGCAGCGTGTTAGATAGCCCTGTCGTGGTTCAGACTCTTTTGGGTGCTGAGGTTCTCCACCTACGGCCGTTACAGGGCTTGGCTTACTGCTTGGTCTCCAGGTTAGCAGTGTGTGACTGCTCACACAGATCTGTACGCAGGTTTGAGAGTTGATACTTAAAGTTTGGGATTCACATGCAAAATCTACGGAGGATCTGTCTGTGAAAACCTTTTGAAGTCAGGAACTTAACTAATATTCCAAAAAAGAGGAATGAAAAAAATCTCAAATAAAGTATAAATTAAGGCAAAACATGAAATTAATAAGAATTGAAGGCAAAAATATGTAGTGTCTTAAAATAAAAAGTCATTTTGTGCACATACACAATTTATTAATTTACAGTTGCATTTCTGGAGGCACTATTTCTGTTCGTAACTCTCAGTTACTTCAGTATAGGAAAATGTCGATTTCCACTAAAATTCTGTCAGCATTGATATCACAGTTTTATCACAGTTATTTATAACCCATATACCAACCTGATTATAATTAACTGTATATAATTTGTAGGGGTTGCCAAATAGCGAACAGTTATTTGCTACGCGAAGTATTTGTGTAATTAAAAAAATGTCAGCTAGTGTATTAGAAACATTTCATACAGCTGGTTAAATAGTTCAGAACGTATTGGTGAATAATACATTAATTCACTGATGTATTACATATTGAATAAACTATTTTAATAAGTTAAATTGCATTTGACCCACTAGAGTTGACTCCTACTCCACAAAGTATTGAGTACCACCTTGAGTCGAAGGAGCTGAGGGCACTACAGAGGAGGCTTTATCAGGTTGTTAAATATTAGGGCTTGTGAGTATGGCAGTTAGGTGTATGCTTAGGAGCGCTACTGAATAAAGAATACAGTTCTCCAAGACACTGTTCTCCCGAGGTCTTTCAAATGTGGTAACTAGAACCTTTTTTAGGCATAAAAGTATTTTTGTACTTTTGCTTTTGCAAAATCAATATGGTGCCGTTAATGCAAAGTTCACTTTTCCACTCCGTAATTACTAAGGTCAATATTATACAGTCATTATTAAATAAAAAAAAAAGTTCCCACCCTGTATCTAATCAAATTTCAGGTCCTGCATTCTGTAAGTTCATGTTATAACTTTGCCATATTAATGAGGAGTTTGTGCAGCAACCCTGGCTAAGCCGTGCAGCTATATTATGTAAGTGTTTTCCCATATGGTAAGCCTTGTCTGCAGCAGCATATAGCACTTTTGTCTGGTGTAATGCTCTCCTTTCCCCAGGTTTTATATGCCTAATTCAGTATCAAGAGAAGTCTAATGAAAGGGGAAATCTAGCCCCTGCCTTGTGGCCGCTGTGCTGGCTGTCTCTCTGTCCTTTACCTGTGAAGGTCTTAAGGCAAGACGCCTTGGGAATGAGTTTTTGTCTATGTTTTAGGTCAGTAACAATTCCATGAGATGCTTAAGTGATTTTATGGCTTTCTGTTGTGCTTTTATATTGTATTCAGAGCAGGGAAGCAGTAAATTTAGAGAAATAATAAAATGGGTTTCTATGTTCTCAGTATTTTTAATAAAATTCAGTAATCAGCATATTATAAAGTCATAAAAAGGTATAATTTTTACTGCAGGGAATGTCCATTTGAAGAGGGCTCCTGGATCACGGCAGCGATAAGCAGGCAGCGCTGTCTGTTGGGTTACTTATCCATGGCACCAGGAATGTCTGTTGTTCAGATGTGTGAGCTCCAGCCTCGGTTTCCGTTCACGGTTGCCGTGTATCATCGCAAGAGTGATGATAACGCCTCTTCAAGGTGGCACTATAGTGACAGTTTAACATGGCAAACTTCTGCTTGGCAAACAGACAGCGACTGTTAGCCAATATTGGCTGAGACTCGCTGATGATACCACGTAGTGTATCCTTAAAGAGGATAGTTCTTTGGACTTGATCCCGCTCTGTTTTCTGTCATGTGCCTCTCAGTCCAGGAGAAAAAAGAGCAAATAAATGTATCCACCCTCCTTTTTATGGGTGCGTTCACCCTCCTTTTTACACGGGTATGCTGAGGAATGGTTTCCTGACATAAGCTTTTTACTTTCTTTCCTTCCTAGGAAATGGTCTGGAGTTTGCAGAGTTAGAAAGCATGCTTCTTACATGCTAAAAAAGGGGTTTAGCGTAACGCTTATCACCTTGATCACAGGGAGGTACTTGCTATTCTTGAGAGACTCAGAGAGTGTGTACCAGCAAACCCTGCAAGGCAGGATGGAAATCTCCCTCTGGCGGGTTTTTTCGGTTAACCGAGTTAGGGTAATCTCTGGCCTGTGCTCAGTAACTCAGCCCTGAAACTCTGCAGCTGGAGATTTCAAACATTAAGATTCTTCTGTCCAAACATGCTGTTATATCTTCTTTTGCCACTAGAGTACAAAATCAAACAATCCACGTGTACTGCTTCTTAATCTCTACCGTTAACTTCTATTAAATAATGCATTTAGTATTATTTAAAATAGTTGCTTTTTGTTACCAATGTAACTTCCGTACGATGCTCTCTGAATGCCTCTCCGTCAGTAAAATAACTGTAAATGTTAACAAGCACATTTTAAATATGCTGCTTTTATGTATAAATGTAAGTTAACATCTTAACAGGAATTCCATTTTAGTATCTGTCGTAATGTTTTGATGATCCCTTCTGATACCGTCTGTGTACTAAGAATCTCATTCCTCAAGTAACGCTGTATTGTTATAAGGTTATTCTTATTTTACAATCTCATTTTGTGAGCTTAGTGATACAGCTGGAAGCGTACGGGCCCCATTTTAGGCAGCGGCCGCTACGATGGCACCTGTAACTTATGTCCTCAAAAAAACGGGGGAGGCGGGGGTGGTGGTGCAGATTTGCAGACGTAGTTTGCTAATTGTATTGAGACATCTTTGAAATTTCTGCATGATTCTCCTTTTTTGATCTAAGCTTTTGGACTGCCTTTTGGCAACGGGAGTACTTCGTGCATACATTTTCATGTGCTTTGGTCACAGGCCTCTGGGCATGTGCATAGGTTACTATGTGGGTGGAAGTGGAGTCGCATCTTGCTCAGTTCAGAAAAACATTGCTTCAGAGAAACTTTGTCTTGGTTTGTTTTGGAAGGAGACCTCATGGATCTTGGCTTGAGGTGAAGCTGTTAGGGTGAAGGTCATGACAAGCTGTACGATAGGCGATGAGACTGCATGAAAGCCTGTGTCACGAGCCAGAAAAAGTGCCGGGCTGAAGCCGAGTAGATTTATTTTATCCCCACTGCAGCTCAAATCAGATTGCCTTCTCTACAGCTTCAACGGGAATTTACCATCCCTTCTTACGTGTTAG